CCCCCCCCATCTCCATCTCCCCCTCCCACAGCAGTGGGGTCAGTGTCCAGGATTCCCATCAAACGGACAACATGTTTCCTCTCAACTGAAGCCCATCAGCATTTTTCCAGTCGGGCCTCAAAGCCTGCGGGACATTATTCATGTCCGTGGGCCGCTGCCGAGGAGGCCACACACTGCTCTCCGGCCGTGTGTGCCGGGGGTGGCGGGGCCCGCGCTGCCCCGAGGTTGAACCTGACCCCAGCTCTGGCAGCACCGCGAGGGCCGCGGACCTTGGAGCCCTGGGAGGTCTGCCGGCGGCGTTCCCGCTGCCGTCGGGGCCCCGCCGTGCGCCCGGCTGGCCGGCTGGCTCGGGTTCCTCCCGCGGAGCCGGTGTGGTCCGTCCCTCGGCGACATCTGTGTCCCATCCTCATTACTGTCCTTTTGAGAAACGAGTGAGGGAGAATGGAGGCAGCTTCCAGACCAAGCCCGGGAGAGGGTAGGTCACGGGCCGGTGAAGACGCTGACTAGGAGCCCCCCACGCGGGCTCAGAGCCCCTTGGCCGCTTCCTGGCTGAGCAGCCTCGGGCATGGGGCTTCCCCTGCTGGACCTCAGTTTTCCCATCTGTAAAATGGAGATGACGGTACTTCCTTTCTCGGGAAGTGGTGGGAGAGGGCTGAGGGAGTTACCACCCCTCGCCTCCAGCCCCGGGGCACAGACGGCTGTGCTCACGGTCACAGGGGACTTCAGCTCCCACCCTTCCTCCTGCCTGTTGGGAACCAGAAGGAGATCTGGGGGGAAGGGTCTCCCTGCAGGTGGAGACACCGCCAGGTGACAGGGGTAGGGCCACTGTAGTCATGGTCCCAGGGAGGGGACATGATTCTTACAGTTTCCAGCTGAGGCCTTGAGGGCGTGGGCAGGTGTCCCAGGCGGCTTTGGGGCTCGGCTCACTGTGGTGGCCACAGAGCTGGGCCCTCGGCACTGGAGGGGTGGGGACAGCCCCTCCTGGCAGCCCTTCCTCACAGCCCCCAGCATTGGGGGTGGGGGTCCTCAACTTTGAGGAACCTGGGGTCTAATCCCAACATTGTGATACATAAAAACAAATGAGTGACAAACATTTTTGAGGGGACTTGTCAGCTTGGAAGCAAACCCCACCCCACCCCGTGTGAGCCCCCTAACCCCACCATGAGTAGGTGGTCCAGGAATTGATCCCGTTACAGGTGGAAAGAAAGGAACTGAGGCTCAGGACTGAAGCAGGGAAACTGACCCACAGGGCCTAACAGGGGCAGAACTGGCTCTCGAACCTGGGGCCCGGCTCCTAACCTTATGTTCTTTGCCCTGAACCATGCAGTTTCCAGCCCCCCCTTATTTCCAGGCTTAGTGCCTCCCTGGTGGGCCTCTCCCTTAGCGGGATGTTAGGGACCTCTAGTCTAGTCCCGAAGCCGTCTTTTCTCCATTCATAATTCCACTATTACACATTCATTTCTTTGCACTAAAGGCTTTATGTCTTTTGAGTCTTCTGCTGATGCTTTCGCACGCCCACCTGACTTCCTTTGGGCCTGCCTTGGTTTGTGGAAACACACTTTTCTTAAAGTGTATCCTAGACATTCTTTTTATTTTTAAATATTTTTTAAAATTATATATTGATTTCAGAGAGAGGAAGGGAGAGGGAGAGAGAGAGATAGAAACATCAATGACAAGGGAGAGTCATTGATCGGTTGCCTCCTGCACGCCCCCGTTTGGGGATGTAGCCGGCAACCCGGGCATGTGTCCTGACTGGGAATCGAACTGCGATCTCCTGGATCCTAGGTCCATGCTCAACCGCTGAGCCACGGCCGGCCAGGCTTTTTAATTTTCTTTTTTTTAATCCTCACTGGAGAATATTTCTTCCATTGCTTTTCAGAGAGAGTGGAAGGGAGGGAGAGAGAGACACACACATTAGTTGCCTCCCACACGGGCCGGCACTCTAACCACTGAGCAAGACCTCCTAGGACAGTGGACATTCTTTTGAAAGCCAAGTCTTTAAAAACCCTCCAAGGCAGTTGCACAGCCCCACCCAGGTCCCAGGTGGACGTTGTGATGGAGTCCGTGCCACTCTGGCTCTTTCTGGCTCATCAGGAGCCTGCCAACTGGTTGCTAACCCTTTGGCGGCTTGCGGTAGGCCATGGCGGGAGTATTTACACCACGGAAATGGGCAGATGCTACAACTGCAGACCAAGGCCGGGGTTTATTTTTTCTCTCTGGAGAGCCTGGTTACCAGCATCCCCCTGCTCCACCCCACGTGTCTTCCTTTTCTTGGAGGGGTTGAGTATTTTCCAACATGTCTGTGGAGTGTTTCATTCTCGTTGTGACACTTTGTTTCTGGAAGTTCTGTTAAGTCCATTTCCAAGTTGGCCGTGTCGTGCTTTAGTAGCTTCCTGTCCTTGGCAGAACCTTTCTGGTTTGTCGTCCATCTAATCCTTTCACAACCCAAGACCGAGGGCTCACATCTCATTACACACGTGTGTCTCTTGCCAGTGTCTTAATTTAGTTGGGGGCCCTGTGGGAACCCTGACTCTGTCCCCTTGCAGAATCCCTGCACCATGGCCCTGGCCCTGGCCCATCCGTGGCCTCCAGACTCCCCAGCATGAGGGGCCCAAGTCAGGACAGCTCTCACTGCTCTGGGGCCTCTGACTGGAAAGGGGGCCCTGGCGCCCCCCACCTTCTTCCTACTGGGGCAGGCTGCAGTCAAGCTGGGCACCGTGTTTTGAAACATCCCCCGTGTGTTCCTGCTGAGCTGGTCCCATGACCCCTTTCCCAAGTCCGCCAGATGTTTCCCTGGGAGAGACCCCGTTGCTCACGTCAACAGAGGAGCGCGTTTTCCCAAGGAGGCGGCCGTGGCACCAGCTCCCTGACCGCCGTTGAGAGAAGTCTCCACGGACTCGAGAGGAGGTATTTTGGGTCTGCGTGCGGATGAGCAGTGCACAGAAATAAACCTGGCCTGTGATGGCCCGAGACGGCTCGACCCGCACGTGGGCTGTTCACGGCCATTTCTCCCTGCTCGAGGGTGCCCGGGAGTCACCGGGGCCAGGGGCTCAGTGCCCTCCAGGGCTTCCCAGGGCTGGGAAGCTGTTTTAACCTTCTTGGACAAAGGTGTCCATCCACATAGCAGGCATGGTCTCAGCTGCCTCGTTTCTGGGCACAGGGGGCCCGGAGCAGAGGAAACAGCCCCTCGTTGTCTGACCTCTCCTGCCGGCCGCGAGGCTGGGCACTGGGGCCTCCCCCAACTATGACGCAAGTCCTGTGTTGCCCAGGTTTGCAGGTGAGGATACAGGGCCTCAAAGAGATGGAGTTACTTGCTGGAGACCACATGTGGCAGGACAGGGCAGGGCAGGGCAGGACTCATGCCCAGGCCACCTGATCCCAGGGCCTCTGAGTCCCGTGGCCTCGCCCAGTGTCCACCTGGCCTGAGTCCCCCAGCCATGGGCCGCCGTGTGATGACATCGGTGCCGCGGGGCACCCCAGTAACCTCGGGGCAATGGGAAGGTCTTTGTAGGTTGCACGTATCTTTGATGAGGAAACATGGCAGTGCTCTGCGGACGCTGTTCGCTGGTAAAGGGACTCTCCTGAGCACGAAATTCAAGGGGGAGTCGGGAGAAAAGGAGACGTAGACCCTTTGGGACGTCGCGGATCTCGTCCATGGCTGACCTCGGACTCCCGGCCGCACCGCCTGCTGGGCATGTGGCCCCACGCTTTCTGGCTGTGAGACGCTAGGCCCTAGCCCCCAGCGTTATCCGGGAATCATTTGGAAATATAATTGTGTATATTTAAAGTGTACCGTGTGATGGTTTGACATACATATACGTCACGGGACGATTTCCAAGATGAAGGTAACTATGTGTATGTGTGTGTGTGTGTGGAACAGGTGAGATGTGCTTTCATCAGCTTTTGGGTGCACTTGTCCATTAGATCTCCCCAGCTCAATTTTTATATAACTGAGCGTTCGTACCCTTTGACCAGCCTTTCTCCAGCTCCCCTTCCCCCACCTCCTGGCAACTGCCATTCTACTCTGTTTCTAGAAAATAGGCTTTTTTTTAGATTCCACATATAAGTGAGATCATACAGGATTTGCCTTCCTCTGTCTGGCTCGTCTCACTGAGCATAGCGTCCTCCAGGTTCATCTGTGGCGTTGCAGATGGAAGGATCTCGCTCTTTTTCGTGGCTGTATAATATTTCGTGCACGGATTTTCTTGACCCAGTCCTCTGTCGGTGGGCACTTAGCCGCTTCCTCATCTCAGCTATTGCAAATAGCATTGCAGTGAACATGGGAGCGTGGATGTGTCTCCAGGCTCCAGATCCCACTTCCTTCGGCCATGTTCCCGGAAGTGGGATTGCTGGGCCACAGGGCAGCTCTGGTTTTCATTCTGCGCAGCCCAGGCCCTGACTCGGTCTCTCCTAGCCTCCGTGCCCCCCTCTGTGAAGGGCCCTCCTGGCTCCCCTCTGTTCCGCGAGACCCAGCCGCCTGAGCCACCTGCCAGGAGGGGACTCAGAGCCCTGTCCAGAGGGGCGGGTGAGGTGACGGATCCTGACAAACTGCCTGGTCCCACGCTGACTGAGAACCCCTTTCCCCTCCAGACTAAGATCCACGGCGTGGGGTTTGTGAAGATCCACGCGCCCTGGAACGTGCTGTGCAGAGAGGCGGAGTTTCTGAAGCTGAAGATGCCGACCAAGAAGGTTGGTGGGGACGCGTCTGCCCTGGGGCAGGTCTCCGGGCCGAGGGCTGCGCAGGGGCCACAGTCAGATGCTGGCCAGAGGCTCTGCGTTGTTACCAGAGCCCGTGAGCCTCTCGCCTCCACGGAGACCCCAGCCCACACCCAGGGGTGGCCCAGGCAGGGAGCGCAGACGTGCGGTGATACACACACAAGTAACCTTCCCGCTCAGGTGTGCCATGCTCACCAAGCCTCCGCCAGCTCATCGCTCATTGCAGCGCCATTTCCCAGTGGCTGGGCGTTTTCTTTCTAGTCTCTGGAAACCGTGTGGCTCAGATGCCATCTGACGGTGCGCTCCCAAAGCTTAGCCAGGCCCGGGGCTTCCTGGGTGAGGGCAGGAGGGGGGGGTGGCCGGGAGGAAGCCGTCCAGGCATCTCAGATCCCCTGGGATCCATTGGATCACCTGTTTTGAAACAAAAATAAAGTTCAGGGATGTTCTCTGGAAGGTATTGTAGTCTCTCTTTTGCCCGACTTCTTCTCAGACTGCAACTTTCCAGATTTATCTGGTCCCAGGCGTGGAGGGAGCACCCTGACGGGCCCTGGGGTGCGTTCCCAGGACATGCCATCTTGGGGGGTGGGATAGCTCAGCAGATGACACCCCCCCCCCGACTCCCCGTCTCACCCGCAGCTGTACCACATCAACGAGCCCCGGGGCCTCCTGAAAAAAATCAACTCCGTGCTCCAGAAGATCACAGACCCCATCCAGCCCCGGGTGGCGGAGCACAGGCCCCAGTCCATGAAGAGACTCTCCTACCCCTTCTCCAGGGAGAAGCAGCACCTGTAAGTATCCCCAACCCCTCCCTGGAGGGCCCGCTGGGCAGCTACCTCCCCTGTCATCGCCCATGACCCGAGAAATGCAGGTTGTGGGACAAAGTCCTCCACAGACAAAGTTCCCCATCCCTCAAAGAAGTGGGAATTTTGGCCCCTGGAGCCTGTTCTCAGAGCTTGGAGGTCTTGAGGCCCTGAAATGCCTTCTGAGGTCACATTTCACTGAGGAACTAAGGGGCAAAGAGTCTTGATGTTCTGCCTGGTGACACTTAGGGACACCAGCGAGGGCACAAGTGAGGGCAGGCGTGGGCCTTGGATCACAGCCCCCAAGCCTGCCCGGCTCCATCCCTCTTGTCCCCTTTGGGATGTGTCCAAGGAGCGGGGCTGGTGAGCGGCCTCCTGCAGGCTGCCCAGCTGGGGAGGCAGGAACTGAAGAGCGGCCCCAGCTGGGGTCCTGGGCCCCAGGGATGCAGCAGCCAGCAGGTTGCCTGGCAGGGCCGGACCTGTTCTGGAGCCTTCCCTCCTCCCCTGCTCCCTGGGGCAGTGGCGGCTGCAAGGCCTCGTGGGCCCTCACAGGGCAGAGCGAGAGCCTGGGCAGTGGTGGGAATAGAAAGCTTGGGCTCTGGGAACGCAGTGGGACTTGGATGGCGAGCCGCGGGGGGCGGGAGGGCTCCCGGACAGCCCTGCTCTCATGGGCCGTGGAGACCTGTGCCTCCGCCCAGAACCGGGGCTTCCGCTGGCAAATACGTTCGTCATGGAGCAGAGGTCACGGGCTTCACTCCGCGTATGTCCCAGGATAAGAAATACGAAACGGGAGGCGTGATCCCAGCCCAGCTTCTCCCCCCAGCTCCAGGGCAGAGCTCCGGGGCATTAGCGGGAGACCCTACCTCCAGGCCCCCCGGCCCGGCCCCCCTCGCTCTGCCCTGCTGACCCCCTGGCACCCCCAGCCCAGGCTCATCTGGAGGTTCCGTGGGGATGGAGCTCCCCCAGCCGCCCTCCCGGATCTACCTTGGGGAGTGGGTCACCCACCCGCAGACATCCCCGTGCCCTCAGAAGCATTAGGCAACCTTAAGGTGGCCCAAGGCCTCAGGACCAGACCCGAGGAGTTGCAGGGGGATTATCTTAGGTGCTGGAAGCACCGCACGCCGGTGGAGTGATACCGTTCCCCCCCCCCCCCNNNAGGTGGAGACCAAACTGCCCTCTCAGGACGACCCCAAGAGAAAGCCAGTCCTCCGCGGAGAGCTCTGAGCACTCTTGTCTCCGGGGTCACTTCCCACCCCTGAGGGTCTCCCAGGCTCTTGGAGAATGTGGGGGTTGTGGGAAGGTGGGGGAGACACGCGCTGTTCCCAGCGCCCGGGGTCTGGCCGCACCTGGGCTGCGGACGGCTTCGCGGGCGCCACGGTCGGAGCTCGCGGGACGGTGCGGTCCCGGCTCCAGTGAACCGTGCGTCTCTCTTCCTCATATTTCCCCAGATTCGACCTGTCTGACAAGGATTCCTTTTTTGACAGCAAAACCCGGAGCACAATAGTAAGTGTCTCACGCGGGAACCGCTCCCTCTCCGAAAGGCGGCCCCCGGGAGAGGGATGATCATTTCATTTCTGAGAAACTGCTCCGGGTGGAAGGGGCTCTAATTGCCTGTGACAGAAATAATTAGAATAAAACCCGAGAGAGCTTTGGGGGGCCCAGGGGATGCCCGGCGAGGAGGGGGGGGGCGGGAGCGGCAGGAAGGAGGGAGAGGGATTCCAGACCCCTCGGGTGACTTCCCGCTGGCTTCCCGGGGTCTGTCTGGCTGTTCCCAGCACAGATGCCAGCCCCTTGCCACCCACCCTGGGAGGAATCCGCATGTTCCTAACGGTGGGCCCGAGGCCCGGAGGGTGCCCAGCCGGCGGGCAGGCGGGAGCGATGGGAGGTGGCAGCAGAGCCGGGTGGCCTGGGGTAGATAGCTCAGGCTCTGCCAGACGAGCAAACCGAGGCTTGAAACCTGACCAGGCCACGCTGCCCTATTCAAGGTATTGGTTTAATGTTTACCCAGCGGCCGCCAACTTGTCTGCCAGCCAGGCCGGGCCATGCGTGGCTCAGGACCCAAGTTTTATCTAAACAAGAAATTAAGCTGGCAGCCAAGCCGCCAGCTCTGCTCTCTCCCCGCCCAGAAAGCCCAGCCTGGCGGGGAGAGGGGCAGGGCCTGACCTTGGGCGGAGAACTGCCCCTCGCACCACGTCCGAGACTGGACGGTGGGCAGGCAGGAGGCGGTGCTGCGGGGCACATCAGCGTGGGGGGCTCCGGCCGCCGCCAGGACAGGCAGATCCGGGTCCCACCCACCCTCCTGTTCCTCCCAGCCTCATGACTTCGGGAGTCACCCAGCCACCATGGGAACAAGGGTGATCCTGGCTTCCTGCTCAAAGAGCTGCCACGAGCCTCCTCGGGGGCCACCTGGACATAGAGCCACTGCTGTGATTTCCATTATTAACTGCGTTACTGATTAGTTTTAGCAATTAAATCTCATAATTATAAAGAAAGAGGGGCTCCTCTATGCAAAACATCAGCTCCCCGCTGTAGCTTGGGGCAGACGTGCCCAGAGGTAACTCTGGGATGCCCACCGCTTGAGAGACACACCCACGTTTTTTTGTTTTGTTTGTTATTTATTTTTTACTTTTTTTAATATATCTTTATTGATTTCAGAGAGAGGAAAGGAGAGAGAGAGACAGAAACATCAATGATGAGAGAGTCATTGATCAGCTGCCTCCTGAATGCCCCCCACTGGGGATCGAGCCCGAAACCCAGGCCTGTGCCCTGACCGGGAATCACACTGTGATCTCCTGGTTCATAGGTTGATGCCCAACCACTGAGCCACGCCTGCCAAGCAGAACCCCCAGTTTTAACCTAAATCGTTTCCCTTTCCTACACCCCGATGAGACGGGGCTTTAGCTGAGTCATGTGCCTGTGTTTCAATATGTATGGGCACCCCAACTTCTTACATTGTCTGGGGCTGCCAGAATGCTCCCCAGAGCGAAGGGCAGGTTCAAATTTGTAAATTAGCTCCTGCTGTCAGGGAGATGGCCGAGGTGGGGGAGGGGGGACATGCGAATCCAAAGCTCTACTTCTCTTTTCATTGGGGATCTGCTATAAAACTGAGTTTAGTCCCTGATCCCCAAGTCGCAGAAAGCGAATCTGACAGGGCATAAGTATTCACGGAACCACCATGACTCCATTTACCTGTGGGGTGGGGTCACTCTCTCCCAGAGACCCTGAAGGCCAGTTTGTAAACTGCCTGTGCTCCAGATAAACCCTTCGGTGATTCAAAACTTTGCCCTTGGTTAGTCAGACTCCATGGTTTTTGAGTCCCAATAATATCTGGCCTTGGGGTGAGGTCATTGTAGGTGGGTAGGAGTCAGGAAGAGCAGGGAAGGAGCTGATGTGCTGGTCTTGGGACTTAGACCTTCAGCCTTTGGGCACTAGGGAGCCATAGAAGGTTATAGAGCAAGGTCAGATCTGTCCTATAGAGATAACTGCCCGTGACAGGCTGGAGGGCAGAGTCACGGTGGTGGTTGTGAATGGGGGCAGTGATGGCAGGTTACTGGAGAATCAAAGTGGTCAGGAAGAGGCCACCAATCTGATTTGGAGGATGAGGGGAGGGAGCCAACTGAGTGGGCCATAATTCATTCATTCATTTATTCATTCATTCGGTGGGCAGTTATTCAGCGCCTGGCATGTGCCCAAGACTGGTGGGCGGGGAAGGCAATAGGGCAGGTGGAGGAATGCACTCCCGGATGAGAGAACAGAAGGCAGAGTGACAGGGACGGTGGGTGCTCTGTGGTCCCTCTAGTTTAGATCTCAGGACAAGCGCTTCTGGCAGAAGGAACAGCCAGAGTGGAGGCCCTAAGGCTCTGGGAGAGGGTTTGGTGAGTGAGAGGAACAGCCAGGAGGCCGGGGTTAGTGGGACAGACAGTCGGGCCTGGGGGGGCCACGGGAAGGCCGTTGGCCGTGCCCGAGCGAGTGGATCACGTGGGGCTGCGGGGGGCTTGGTGTGCTCTGCCCCACGTCTGTGGCGTAGGGTGGATTATTTTCATCCCATTTTGCAGACGGGGTGGTGAGGTAGTCTGCCCAAGATCACACAGCTGGTCTCAGACCCAGGCAGGCAGACTCCCCAGCCGGCGCTCCTAACGCCACCAAGCGAAATGCTTTGTTAGTAAATGGGGCACGGAGCTGGGGTGGGGTGGGACCCTTCAGGGGAGCTTCTGTCGGGCGCCCTGTGCTCCGCGGCCTCCTCACAGCGTAGAATGGAATCCTGAGACCTGCCCACACCGGGTTTCTGGAACATTCCTGGCTACACCGGGAGTGGTCCTATTGGCTGGGTCTCAGGTCTCTGAATTCTGACTCACCTCTCAGCCGGAGAGCCGGTAACGTCACGCAGGGTGCACGGGACAACTGCTGAGCCCGACGCCAGCACAACACGGAGGAGGGGTGCTGCCTGAAGGGCAGTAAAAGATGGGCCCCCTTTGAAATGCCGACTTATCCCTGGGAACACGAACCCCCTCCCCCCGGCCCTGCTGACCCAGCAGCCTCAGAAAAGTCCCCTGTGGGGGGGGAGGTCACCGCAGGCCTTGGCAGGCGATCACACGGGCTCCTGCCGCCGCCGCGGCCGAGTAACTGTCCCCCCCTTGCCTCCGCCCTAGGTCTACGAGATTCTGAAAAGAACAACCTGTGCGAAGGCCAAGTACAGCATGGGTAAGGGCATTTCTGGGGCTTGACATCAGCGCTGGTTTCCCAGCAGTAACCGCGCCTCGGGAGCGTCTCCGTGGGGGGGG